GGGGGCGCAGCTAGTGCGCCCCCCCCAGCAGACCAGGCTTTTGTTGTGGACCCTGGGGCAGAGCAGCTGGGGCGCTGCCGGTTGGCCTCTTAAGGGGGGGTAGTCTTATACGGGGAGTATAGGCGAAAACCTATGTTTTAACTAGAAAATTAGGGGGTCGTCTTATACGCCCAGTCGCCTTATACGCCGGAAGATACGGTACTATATTTTTCATTGCGCCCCCCCCAGCAGACCAGGCTTTTGTTGTGGACCCTGGGGCAGAGCAGCTGGGGCGCTGCCGGTTGGCCTCTTAAGGGGGGGTAGTCTTATACGGGGAGTATAGGCGAAAACCTATGTTTTAACTAGAAAATTAGGGGGTCGTCTTATACGCCCAGTCGCCTTATACGCCGGAAGATACGGTACTATATTTTTCATGTAGCAGAAATATTTTGTTGAAAAGTCAGAAAGATAAATCTTTGATGGCGTGACTGGAAAACTGTGTGTGTATATTTTGCTGTGCAAATCCTAGATTATTTATGAGGAAGATGAGCAATGAGGCAGTATCAAAAGACCTTTCACCTTTATTGCACAATAAGAAAAGTCTCTCAAAAGCAACAGTTCATTGACCCAATGTGGTGGAACTTGAGATCGGTGTTTTGGTTCCAAAGGTCATTTTTGAAACTTATAAGGAACTGAAAGAAAAAAGTCAGTGTTTAAAATGAATAATGCGCCATTTTCCTGTCTTTCAAAGGAAAGCTTAATTGTTCAGGCTGTATTTATGTGAACACATGTAACCATTTCACATTTTGGACATAATAAATAGTTTCTTATTCTGGATGCTGTAGTCTCTGATGGGGAAGTCCATGACTGAAAATGGGATGTTTAAACATTTACTTAATGAAATAATTTTAGGGCTAGATTCTCTATGGCGCCTTTGTGAGGCTGAGGTATTGCAAAGGAGCTGTTATCCAGTTGCAAATGACCTGCAAGAAAATTAATTCCCTGCTGGGGCATCTGTACCACAGTTGTCACAGTCATGCTCCACACACACAAACACTCCTCCTTTTTCTCCCTCTGCTGCCCACCCCTTGCTATAGAGGAACATAATGGGCTACAAGGCAGTGTGGTGGAGCTGCATTTCACATGGCAGTCCTCAACTGGCATAGGGTCCTTTAAGCAGTAGTGCAACCTAGGCCTGTCTGGAAGCAACTCTATATTTGCTTCGGAGCCAGGGTTGGCCTAGAGAATCAAGGAGCTTGACCATGGTATAGCAGGGCTTCATTACAGGAATCAAGCCCATGTGTTTATTGACCTGCTATAAAGACTGCAGATTGTCTGTCAGGGAACATGTGCATGGCCAGTTCTATGACACATCTAGTGGAAGTCTCTTGGCCAGCTATTGCAATGGAGCTGATGTTGACTGGACCTTTGTGTACTACCACAATACAAAAAACATGATCAAGAAAGGAATCCCTCCTCCCTGGGCTCTCAAATTCTGGGATGGCCATATCATGCCCCTGAGAGAAGAATCAAATAGACTGTTTGCTCTCCAGGCCGCTTCTAACAGCCTGTTTGGAAACAGATGCAGTTGCTTTCCCTGAAAGGGTAAAAGCAAGAATCACTCTGTAAAGCTTCAAGCAAACTCGCCAGCCCTGGTAGACAAACTCCCCCTTTTCTGACAGTCAGCTCTGAACAAAGCGGAAGACAAAAGGAGAGATGGTGTGTCAGATTTGTCTCTTTGTCCACCCCTGTCCTCTCCCAAAAAGCCCACTCCTCTGTTCTGGAGAAGCGAATGTGTAATTGACTGCTGTGTATAAGGTTAAAAGAATAATCCTTTTAGTTGCATGGTAGATAAAAATAATAATGCACTCTCATTCAGAACACAGAGAATGGTTAATCAGAAAGTGCCATGTTCTCATAGTGACTTTGGGAGACTAGTGAAAAACCACACGTAAGTGTATATTTATATTCCACACCTCTCTGTTGCACACTAGCTGCATCTGGTGTGGGGCAGAGAATGGACATTCACCCCAGCGTGAAGTGCTTGCATTCTACTTTACACAGGAAATAGAATTTTCACCAGCTTCTAAGTGACTTAAGGACATAGGTAACATTGTCTTTCAAAGAGACTGAGGCTGTTAAGAGCCTGAAGCCCAGATCCTCAGCAGGATTTAAGTGCCTAGCTTCCACTAAGTAAGGCATGTAAATATCTGTGAAAAGGGAAGTCGGGCCCAAAACTCACATAAATGCTTACGAGGAAATTTTACCCAAGACCTAATACATGTTAACTCTGAAAATATCTCACATGCTATTTTCAAGGGAGCCTAAAGGAGATAGGTGCCCAACTGCCATTGAGTGTCAGGTTCCTTTGATAATCCAAGCCTATAGTTCTGCCCAGTGCTCCATGGTAAATTGAAGATGAAAATCTAGGAAGATCCCAGATCTGGAGAAAAGCCTCTCTCTATACAGCGTTTATCTTCCCCCTCCCACCTCCCTATATCTCTGAGCATTTGGGTTATCTCTGCATATGGCTGCACCAGCACAGAGTAGCAGGGCCATTAGAACACGTGCTGAGGCTACTCGAATTCTGGCCCTCAAGGTTTGTGATTATTTCATGAGTTGAAGGAGGTCACGGCTGTACCACTCCTGAGGAAGGATCATGTCCAACTGAGAATAACAAGGTCACCGTAACTTAGTTATATGGGGCAACTGATCGTTAACACTAATTATTTTGATTGAGTTTTAAGGGCTCTGCTGTGGAACACCCGCTTTAATGTTTTTTGACAATTATAAAATTGACATTTGGCACTGACATTTTGTATGTCTAACATGATTTCTCACCAGTCTTGTTGAGTCAGTACATTTTTGTTGCATGCTGCCTAGCCATAATGTGAGGAACTGACATCTCATGCTTAAATACCAGGTCAGTTGTGTGCAGATGTTATCTACCTTTAACAGAGGTAGAGGGCTGGCTGAAAATTTCAGCTCCTTTAATTGCTCCTCACAGAAATATAAAATCATAGAATCATAGAACCATAAAGATGGAAAAGACCTCAGAAGGCCATCGAGTCCAGCCCACTGCCCAAGGCAGGACCAATCCCAATACCCTCCTAGTGAAATAGTTTTTCCTAATATCCAACCTGGACCTCTCCCATTGTTGATTTGCCTCTCATGCACCCAGAATCCTATGAACAGGCTGTTGCTCCACTAGGATCAGTACATCTTTATGGGGGTCCCATTGCAAGTAACGGAACAAACTGGTTTCCGCAGAAGACCAGAGAAAGGGAATGGGAGCAGATTCCCTCTTCTTCATAAAACAGCTGGTTGAATTATTTTGGGGTCATGGCCCATGGGTTAAGAGCCTCTGAACTAGCATAATGCAAAAGGTTCTGAGTGGTTTAAAAAAGGAATGATTTGGCATTCTGGAGGTGTACTCAGCTTCTCCATTGTTAGTATTTCATTGGTACATTATAACTGATATGGTTCCCTGGTTTCTAAAGTATTAGTAAAGAGATCAGTGTTATCCTTCTCACATTGTGCATAGAGAAAGATCTGACTTAGTAGCTAGGATATGGACTTAGCCCTATGAAACCTCTGAAAGGTGTATTACTTTTTACAGGGACACTCTCGATTTTTAAATTCATATTTTTTTTTTTTAAAAAGCAGCTTTTCTTAGCTGTGCATAGAGAAAGATCTGACTTAGTAGCTAGGATATGGACTTAGCCCTATGAAACCTCTGAAAGGTGTATTACTTTTTACAGGGACACTCTCGGTTTTTAAATTCATATTTTTTTTTTAAAAAAAGCAGCTTTTCTTAGTAGTGTCTTTAATAATCATTGATCATCAATCTCATTTTCCCTTCACTGTCAGTGCTATTTACTTTTAGAATCACATTCAGATTGGACAATGAAAAAAATACACTCCTCTGTTTCCCCTTGACTTTGGAGAAAGTGGTAGCAACTGTAGAGTTAAGGCTGAGCTGAGATCTTTCCCTTGATGGGACCTTAAAACCTCACAGGAGCTGAAACAGGGGCTTGGCTTTAAAAAGCTAAACAGATAGGCTGTGTCTACATTGGCATCCCTTCCCGGAAAAGGGATGCTAATGAGACACTTTGGAATAGCAAAATCTGCGGGGGATTTAAATATCCCCTGCGGTATTTGCATTAACATGGTTGTCGCTTTTCTCCGGCTTATCCCCAAGCCGGAAAAAAGCAGCAGCCATGTAAATGCAAATGCCGCGGGGGATATTTAAATCCCCCGCGGATTTTGCTATTCCAAAGTGTCTAATCTGCATCCCTTTTCCGGAAAGGGGTGCAGTGTAGACACAGCCATACAGACTATGTGTCAGAGATAGGACACTGCAGTAGATGGGCTACATGTCTAAGCTGGTATGACTGTTCCTGGCTCCCTGTGACAGATGTTCAAGTTAATATTACTTGGTCTGGCATCCTCACAGCTCGTGAGGGTTTCTTCTCCACCTAACTATGGCTGCTCACAAATTTGATGGACATAATTTTAAATGCTCATTCTTTCCAAAGGCGTTAGAGATAGATCTGGGCAACTTCTTTCCCTCCCTAAAAGATCTTGACTAAGGAGACCAAAAGGATTCTGTTCTGTCATCATTC